ATATTTATGTTTGTTGTTGTAATGTGACAAAATATGGAAAAGTTCAAGGGGTATGAATACTTTTGCAAACCACTGTATCTTTACAAAAGTTATTTCGCACGAGGGACAGGTGACATATCGACAAAGAAAGAAAATAAAATAATTATTTTGATTAAATTTTAGAGTTATACATATACAGGAATCTAATTGTCCTGTTAAGGGGTTGAATTTAAAACAACCGAAATAACAAAGAAATTCCAAATAATCTTTGGGATTTCATGTAGAAGGTGGGAAAACATTTTCTCAGATGTTCAAATAGTCCTTCAGCAGCTACAATGTTCAGAAACACATTTTTTGTGGTATTTTTTTCATTAACCAGAGAACCCAAAGTGCACCAAATTCAGAGAATCACTCTTGAAAGAGAGCAGAGGTTTTGAGTGCAAAGAYGTGAACTCCTGCTCCTAAATTAATAATATTAAATATAAGTTCTTGATAACTGACAGGATATTTCTTCTATACTTGCTGATCAGGTGACTTCTGACAATGAGTGAAGGAGCTGAATACAAACACACACCACAGTTTTCAGATTTATGTAAGGTTTATGTAAAAGTATTGAAAACCAACTATTATTTTTCCTCTGCTTTGTTTTAAAGTGACAAAATGCTGAAAAGTTCCTTTCATAAGGCAMTGTGTGAATAATATGCCAACAGAGCCTGCAGTTAGGGGCAGGCTGGGACACATGGAGCCACTCACACACCTACAGGATATGAGGAAGACTGGATTTTCTTTCCAAGCACTTCTCTGTATATTTATACACATGGTAGCATCCATTTTGTTGGTTCAGAAAATATATCTGGATACTTTTCACATCTTCATCACAGGTAAATGCTGAGTTTAAAGAAGTCAAAGCTGTGCCACACTAGTATTTTAGACCTCACACACATTTCCCATGGCTGACAGACTGAGATGACATGAGTGGAAAAATTAGAGGGAGTAAGTAGCAAAGGTGGACACAAACTGGAAAACACACAAAGATTACTTCTTCTACAGACAAACAATTAAAGACACACACACACAGACACACTCACACACTGCTCCACAAACTAAAATCCAAACTAGATATTTTCATTCRCAGGAAATAGTGATAATATAGAGCTAATTATTTCCATAAACATTGCAATTCATCTGAAAGTTAAGTTAGATTCTGTTTCGTTACCATCATTATTGACAGGTGTTAGCCCACACAAGCAGATATGCTCAACAGCAACAAAAAATTAAATAAAGAGGCAGATATCTGGTCGGGGTTTACACCAAAAATATCAGAGCGATAGCAAATCAAAGAAAAGAAAGAAGGGAAGACTGGAGAGCACAGACAGTGGTTTGAGTTTAGTCCARTGGGAGAAAGGTTGTCGAGCACAGGGAGGAAGGTGAAAGAAAAACAGGGTCTACCTTGTAGGCGACTCTTGGTGGACATTTCTTTCCCAAACCTAAGGGTGGGGACATGTGGAGCAGCATCTGATACATATCGAGGTACTTGATACGGCCACTTCACAGGGTTGAAAATCATACATAAAGAGAATGCAAACAGAGAAGGATGGGGAAGAAATCAACAGGAGAACAATGGAGAGGAAACACAGAAATCTCTTGTCAATAGATTTCCTAGAGTGAGATGTAGGGYGGATGCCATCCTTGGCCTCTATGTCAGGACCAAAGGATGCATCACTGTGGAGCTCAGGGTACCTGAGAGGAAAGATGGAATGGCACAGAGTGAGTCTGGTCAGAGAAGAGAGAAGGGGAGAGTATTAGGAAAGACGGGTTGGCCCAACACGCAGAATGGTGATGGGTTGAAGAGAAATGACAGCTTTGTCATGAGAATGTCTGCTCCAGCATGCTTGCAGACATCCCACTGGTACTTCAGTCAGGGTGCACGGAGACAAAGGTTTCAATGCCAGCCGGAACTGTTCTGCTTTTCCTTTGACCTGCGTCCTCTACAACCCCAAATAACATTTAAAAGAYATTTGAGCTGATCTGAGTAGAGTGAGCACATTTCCTTCATGCAGAAATGTGAACATTCTAACTTGTGGAATAGTACGTAAAATACTTCTGTCGAAACATTACAGACTAGAGAGCTGGCTTGGCAGGTGGCATGTTGGAAYAATGCCACAGCTTTGAAAGCTTTGTTTCCTCTTCGGCATTATCAACCAAAGCCAGACAGTTTGGAGGGGTGAGTGCTAGTTACAGGCGAGTTCATTGGTGCACAGCCATTCAATAAAACGTCTCTTGGCATAGAGGTACACAAAGCACCCTAGTGATGGAAATGTCTGATAATTTGCAAACCTTGTATGCTACCCTATTAGGGCAGTTCTTTCCTAAGCCAAGGGGGGGTGAGATAACACGCAACAAATAGTACATATCCATATAGGAAATCCGTCCGCTGCGAAAAAAAACAAGCACATAATAAACGTTCAGGACAGCTTCAATTAAACAATATTCATCAGAGGGCTCACTGCATACTACAWGGTCTAAGAACCAAGCCTGGGTTAGAAGGCTTTGTTTAGTCTTCTTGGCCACAAACATGGATGGGAGAAACAAGGTTAGAGTATTTACTCTCCACTTTGACTGTGTAAGCTGTTTGCAGAGAAAGCCTTAAACGTACCAAGCAGCAGGGTCATACTCGGCCCAAACCCGKATAAACTCATCCAGGTGATGAGGTCCCAGGATGGAGGAGTCTCTGGTAAGATATTCAAAGTTATCCATTATGACAGCCACAAACAGGTTCAGCATCTGGAACACAGACAGCAGGTGGAGACTAAGAACTGCAGTGAACCAATAAAGCACAGCTAATTAAATTGTTGCTTTAGAACATTTTAACATGACTGATTACTGATGATTGCAGCACTCAACTGTCATTTCTGAGGTTTTCACACTGAATGGGTCAGAAATACCACAGAAATGAACAAAACCCAGCTGATGAGGTAGTAAACTGAGTTAAAAAAAACTCCAAAATGTACCATACTTTGAAAACATTTTGATGAAATGAGCTTCTTTCATTAGTRCACAGAGCATCACACTCAAGACTAAAACAACGTTTAATACTGGTTCATACAAGTTAATGTACATCCCTATACAGTCCTGTGAAGTGAATTATACCTAGGTGACAGTACTACAGGAGTGGATTAGCACTGACCAGGAAGGAGCACAAGAAGATAAAGGAGACGAAGTAGAAGTAGGCGAAATCACTGCCGCACTCTTTGCCGTGGGTCCCTGAGCGCTCGTCGCAGGCTCGATGGCTCAGACAGGACAACATGATCTCATGCCAGGCCTCTCCYGTCGCACTCCTGATGGACATTTTCAAAACAAAATGACTCAGATGATACTATGTAGACGAGTTTAACAACTTACTCTCAAGCATGATTTTCAAAATGTACAAGTCCGATTTCCAGATGAGGCCAAACATCTGAAAGAATTAGTGATGAGCACATTTATTTCCAATGAAAAAAAAATTCTGTTTGATTCTGAATCTAAGCTGATCTAACTTTTGATGCACTGTGTTTTTCTAAAAAACAAAACAAAAACAAAACACATTCTCTGTGTCATTGTTGGACAATCTTTTACATTGTCACCAGATTTATCTCCATCCAGTGTTGCATTAATTTTACACCAACATCTTTCATTGATGATGGTAGAGTCTGACCTTCTCCAGCACATCCCAAAGGTTCTCAGTGGACTCTGTGGAGCCAGTCCATGTGTGAAAATGATGTCTCATGCTCCCTGAACCACTCTGTCACAATTCCAGCCCCATGAATCCTGGCATTGTCATCTTGGAATATGTCCGTGCCATCAGGGAAGAAACAATCATTGATGGAATAACCTGGGGTCTCATTTATAAAGGATTGCGTGGAAACCATACTAAAAGTGAACATACAGCCAAAAGGCGGAAAT